TTACCTTTTGCCTCCTTCCCTGATCCGGTTGATTACTTATTACCCCTGCATTCAGTTCATTGTCACCCATCATTCACTTTATTGTTAGCAGCTTACTTCCAGATGTTTAACACACTACTCACAACTAATTACCTTTTGCCTCCTTCCCTGATCCGGTTGATTACTTATCATCCTACGTCCAGCTTTAAATTATTACTCGCAACTTGCTTGAACGCCATATTAATTTCATAGACCAAACAAAACGTTTGTTTACAAACACGTTTCTAGAAGCGCCTGGAGACAGAAATACAGTCTTCACCATAGTAATTTGAGAATGCACTGTTTATATAACTCTTTATTTTTAACTTCCAACTTTAGTTCCGATAAACATCTGTTATATAAAAAATGTTTACAACAAATTCTAGGTAATATAGTTTCAACTTTATACAAAACTAACTAAATATTAACGGTCACTGCTATAAAGAAACTCGAGACTATATGTAGTGCAGGAATATAACTGACCAAGCGACTATGACGTCACAAATACTGTACATTTTAATAACAGTATGTTTTATTCGTTTTTTATTTTTTGAGAATATGGGCAGTATTTTCTTTGTGTAGAAGTGAAAATATTGTTGATAAATATCTTTCTTTTTCTTTCGCAGAGTTTGAAGATCTAATCATGGGAGCGTTTTGCTTTAATTGAATTCGTCTTCATACGAAGCTGAACAGGCCTACCTCTCATTCTATCGTCGACACTTTCGTACTGCTATGAACATATCCGTTCGTTTAACATCAAAAACGCAGACTTAATATAATCCATAACACATTTTTTTGCCCGAGTTCAGAAAGTAATCGGATAACCCTACCCTCTAAAAGTAGAGAAAATATTTTTGTTTATATAAGAAGATTAGTAAAATTTTACTGGCTAATTTACAAAGTTCGTCATCCGTTAAACAAAGATATCAAAAAAATGTAATTAAAAAAAACTTCACGTACTTTTGAAAGAAGATTAGTAAAAATTTTACTGGCTAATTTACACAGTGTCCTGGAAGAAGAAAGGTCCACCTTTCGAAAGAGCTCGGGTTATAGGGTTTTTATTCATTTCTGTCAAGACTTTTTGAACCTACGTGTTTTTCTAACATCATGACAGTTCGTAAAGTTAGTTCGCCTATTGGTTAAATTTAAAACTATGATAAATAGTGGATATTTATTCGTTTATTATTGTTATTCACAAATCGAGTAAATTTGTCTTCACCATAATGAATTAAGAACACAATATTTAATATTTCGGATAAATTTCGTTTCCATTGTATTAACGTTTAAACTATCTTCGCACCCTACATACTCGCATTGAATTATTGATTTGTTGGTAGCAGTTATGCGCGGATAACACCGCTTGGTGTTAAAACAATGGTAAGAAGTTTGGATTACACGATACAATGTACTCTGAGTTATGAGTATGTCTGATTTTAGATTTTATAATACCTGTATTCTATAAAAAATGTTCAAGTGTTTTGGTAACTACAACTGAAGAGTTTTATAACAAATTAATTCATGAAGTCTGTTTGTATAGTATATGTAGTTGAAATATTTTTGGAGTAACAAAAGTAATGTTATTCTAATGACGTATATTTCCTTTATAAGGAACTCTAACAAAACTATCCTTATCTATAATTTAATTTATATAGAAATAAATTTTTTCTACTCTCTGTACAAAAGTGTGGTCTGTTTTCTTGCGACAAGTGAAGCCGAGAAATTGAAGTTGGATCATTTTACAAAATTGCCATCAAAAGTATTTTACTGTATATAAACAAGTAGTCAATGTTTAGATATCCACGTGCTGCAAAAGTGTGGTCTGTTTTCTTGCGACAAGTGAAGCCGAGAAATTGAAGTTGGATCATTTTACAAAATTGCCATCAAAAGTATTTTACTGTATATAAACAAGTAGTACAAGTGAAGCCGAGAAATTGAAGTTGGATCATTTTACAAAATTGCCATCAAAAGTATTTTACTGTATATAAACAAGTAGTCAATGTTTAGATATCCACGTGCTGCAAAACTATTTTGCATCTAAGAAGATAAATTAACGCTAGGCCTACTTTAAATTTGTTAATTTGACATTCGTGATTGTGTAATCTTACAACACGTTTTTGAAAATTTATGCACAATAACTAATAGATCAGCATTAATGATCTTTCTGTGGAAGGCATGAAGAACTTTTTTGTGATGTGAACGTTACCATTTTACCCTTCTGATCAAAAGGCCACCAGACTCTAAATAGGCTTATAGGTTGTCTTTGATTTTTAATAGATACTCAAAAAATTTCCTTGTGTGCAAACGATTATACCTAGAGTTACGAAAAGCCAAACATTCGTTAAGCATCTGAAGTGGTTAGATTGAATTTAGGATAGTTAAATGTGTGAAGCGGTTACATTGAGTTTGGGATAGTTAAATATGTGAAGCGGTTACATTGAGTTTGGGATAGTTAAATATGTGAAGCGGTTACATTGAGTTTGGGATAGTAAATGTGTGAAGCGGTTACATTGAGTTTGGGATAGTAAAATATGTGAAGTGGTTACACTGAATTTAGGATAGTTAAATGTGTGAAGCGGTTACATTGAGTTTGGAATAGTAAAATATGTGAAGTGGTTACACTGAATTTAGGATAGTTAAATGTGTGAAGCGGTTACATTGAGTTTGGAATAGTAAAATATGTGAAGTGGTTACACTGAATTTAGGATAGATAAATATGTGAAGCGGTTACATTGAGTTTGGAATAGTAAAATA